GTTTAAAAAGGGGGACCGGAGGGTGTGCTCCAATTACAGGGGGGTCACACTCTTAAGCCTCCCTGGTAAGGATGCCTCCTGGACGCCTCCCTGGTGAGGTGTTCCGGGCACGTCCCACCGGGAGGAGGCCCCGAGGAAGACCCAGGACACGCTGGAGGGACTATGTCTCTCGGCTGGCCTGGGAACGCCTTGGAGTTCCCCCGGAGGAGCTGGAAGAAGTGGCTGGGGAGAGGGAGGACTGAACCTCCCTTCTGAAGCTGCTGCCCCCGCGACCTGACCCCGGATAGGCAAAAGAAAATGGATGGATGGATGGATGGATGGATGGATGGATGGATGGAAGTTTATGCAAGAATCTTGGATCAAAACTGTTGCAGCTGAAACTTTTTGTGTTGAACTGGGGCGGGGCTTATAGGTGGTCCACTGCGAACAAACTTTGTAAATGACATGAACAGTAAAAGTGTGAGAAAACTACGTTCTTGTACCTGTCAGGTAGCTAACCATGGTGTTCTTTTATGTCTGCAGCGGTGAAGAGGCTGATGAAAGAAGCTGCAGAACTCAGGGACCCTACGGAGCACTATCACGCCCAGCCACTGGAGGTAAGTTCTACACAGGTTCTGACCAGACAGGATGCACTGGTCAGCTCTATAACGTACTTTACAGTGTGAACTAATTAATAGTTTTATTTAAAGTAGTAATTTATAGTTAACTTATAAAAAATACTGACAGCACTTCTTATTCTGGTTTTGTTCTTGACTTCATATCTGTAGAACCTGGCTGTGTTTGGCACTATGTTTTGGTGGACTATTTACCAACTATCTTGTGTTTGGTCAGATTTTTAATTTTTTAATTTTTTGTAACAATYCTTCTTGGCAATAAATTGTATACCCTTGGAGAGTCTGTTAATTTATCCTTAAGTTGTCATATTTGTAAGAAAAGGACAAGTGTGAGTTGAGCGCCCATAAAAAACTGCAGAATCCTCTCTGCCAACACCAAACAATTACTTCTTATATATTTTTGGAGTCATTTGTTAGGTTGGATGATTGAAGTCTGAAGAAACATGACATTATTGAACTATTTAATTTAGCAAACAGGGACTTCAGTAGCATGTGGAAGAACCATACACAGCCACAACAGTCTGGCACCTCCTCGTCAGCTGAAAGACAACAAACAGGAATTTACTTCCTTACTTTTTCAAAAGTATTTGCATTTTAACAATGTTTAAACAAACAGCAGCTGTGTGTAAAAACTTTCACATCATTATCAAGAACAACATGTCATTCAAGAAACAAACCATAATCCATTGAGTCCAAAGAAAGAAGCTCCATCACTTACTTTTATCAGAAGGAAAATCACTTTTTTTTCTCCCAACTCCATCATCCCATCACATCTGTGTTTTGTCTATTTTGGCACATTTTACCATTTTTTCGTTTAGAGAAAAAATAAAAAAAGCAAAACAGTCTCCTGCTGTAACAGGAATTTGATTGGAGGTTCACCTGTAGCAACAGAATCAGTGTCGGAGCTGATTGGTCTGATCTGTACTAAAGACTACACGTCATGTGTCCATTCAGACAAAAGGACTTTCAGTGAATTTTATTGGCTCTGGAGACCCCACAGACTCCACAAGKAGAATTTACAAGCTTTGTATTCTAATTCAGAAATTCTTAACCCACTGTGGGCCTTGAGCGCCACCATGAGGGCCTCAAAAGAACAACAGTTTTTAACTTTGGGCCACAGAGGGCC